ATCTTGGCTGGAATCTGTCTGCCCCGCTTGTGTCCCCAGCCAGACCTGGTGGAGCGCCTCATCTCCGTAGACATTAGTCCCGTCTCAAGTTCACTGGTGTCTGAATTCTCCACCTACATCTCTGCCATGAAGTCGGTGAAGATCCCGGATGGTCTGTCCCGCTCTGCGGCCCGCCAGCTGGCTGACAGTCAGCTGCAGCCAGTGGTCCAGGTAGGAAATCCCGCTCCTGGGATGGGGTCTGTGCTCCCAGCCTGTACCTGGGACCAGAGCACGGGGCTTTAGGGCCACAGTCCCAGCAGGAGTCTTTCCACCCCTGCTGGCCTGGGCAGCTGGAGGACACCTCACCAGGGCTGCAGGGACCATGGGGCATGTGACGGACACACAGCATGAGAGGGACAGCAAGGCGGGGAGGACGGAGGGTGCCAGGACATCTTGAGGGCTCGATGCGCTTACTGGAGAGTGTACGATATCCTTTTGTGGCAGCTCCCGCAGCTGAGACAGTTCCTCCTCACCAACCTGACAGAGGTGGAGGGCCGCTACGGCTGGCGGGTGAACCTGGAGGCTATTTCCCACCACATGGCAGATATCATGAGCTTCCCCATCTTCCACAAGCCGTATCCTGGCCCTGCACTCTTCTTGGGAGGATCCAAGTCGCCCTACATCAGGTGGGACTGGAGAGAAGTGGTTCCAAGTCTGTGGTTTGACCCCACATGCTCTTCTGTGCCTGTCCAGGGTGGGAGGAAGCCCCCAAGATGGGGGAGGTCCTGGAGCGAGCTGTGTGCCTCCAGCAGCCAGTGACACCAGTGCGCTGGAGAGTGAGGGGGAGCTTGGGGACAGCCCTGAACTTTCCCAGCGGGGCGGGAGACGTGATCAGAGCTGGGACCCCTCTCTGCTTGGAGAGGGTGAGGGAAGGCACCGGGCTGGACCTCTGACCACAGTGTGTTCCCCTGTCCTGCAGCTCCAAAGACTACCCGGAGATCCAGCGCCTCTTCCCCAAGGCGGATGTCCAGTACATCGAAGGTGCAGGCCACATAGTCCATCAGGATAAATTTGAAGAATTCCTCACTGCTGTCCTCAACTTCCTGCCATCACTGTAGTGCTGTGGACCGGGGTTTCTGCAAGCACCCGTGGCACCTGAGGAGCTCCAGGCAGTGACGCAGGACTCTGGGCTCTGTGAAGAGGGGCGCAGCCTGGACCAGTCGATCGGGCTGGATCCTGCCTGCAAGGGCTTCTTCCACCCCAGGTCACCTGGAGATGGAACGGAGAGGCACCTCCATCCCGCTGAGCTCTTCTGCCACCGCACAGGGACAGGGGGTGGCACTGGTGCAGGACACTGTCCTGCCTGCACTGGTGTGTCTCAGACACGAGGAGGGGGCAGGAGACCCCCCCTCTAATTTTCCTGCTGCCAGACCCCCTGACTGTGGATCTGGCTGTGACTTTGTAGAACGTGCAATAAAGCTGAATCCATGGCAAGGCAGAAAGTGGTTTGGATGTGGCCACGGAGGACAGGGAGGGCAGTGGTGGGCACAGAAAGGGGCTCCCGCTTACCAGCAGCGATGCTGGTGGGAGGTGACAACTGGGCTGGGCCAGCTGGTGGAGGAGCAGATGGAAGACAGACTTGTGGATCTTTATTGGCACCCAGAGGGAATCGTGTCCTTGCTCCACCTCAGGGGCAGTGGGAGGATTGGGAAGTGGGGGAGGCTGCCTCCCAAGCAAGGAGATGCTGTGAGCCTGCAAAGGGGAGGCACAGAAATCCCTCCGGAGCACAGCTGCCCAGACTGCTCCACAGGTGGGCATCCCCTCCTGCCTGAGCTCCCTCCAATTTCTCACTTCCCGCCTACTTGCAGCATCCCTGAAAAGGCAATGTAACAGCAGGTACTGCTGGCCCAACGACCATCCTCCCACCGCGGGCTGAAGGCAGAGGAGAGGTGCTGTCTTCTGTGAAAATCCCTTTATTAAACAACGAATAAAGCCAGAGATGGGGCAGAAGCAGTTCTGGGGGTGACAGATCATCTCTGTCACAACTGGAGGCAGGCTCTGGGGACAATTAAGAGAGATACCAACCAGCTTTACATTTGGTGCTGCAAAGCCAGGTGTCTCTGCTGCTCCCTGGAAAGGGTTTGCTCAGTTTGGGGTTGTTTGGAGGCTGCAAAAGGAGGGAGGAGAGGAGACCGAGGGCTATTTTATTCCCAGGTCTATTTGTAATTGCCTAGCAGAGGAGGCACAAGTAGCTGGTCTGGAGATTCACTGTGCTTCTGCAAAGCTCTTCTTGGCTCTTTTCTGAAGAAGTGCACCTCTCTGGAGCAGGACTGCATTCATCTTGAGCTTCAGCTTTCTGCTGTGTTAACCCCAAATTCAGATGCTTCTGTCTGTGTATTATTTTTTCACCTGTGAAGAACATTAGACTGAGAAGCTCCTGAGACACGGGCTACGAAAATGAGTTCCTTGAGCACCCATCTCTCCTATGGCCAGGTGGGAGATGGGGCTGGAGTCAGGCCACTGCCCGGCCCTGGCTACCAGCACACAAGTCCTTTGGGTATCCGGTCTGAGCTGCGAGGTCTGCGACCCAGGAGCAGTGGGGAATTTCTCCCCACTCCTCCTTGCTGGCCAGGTACCAGGTTTGGGGCACAGACAAAAGGCTGCTGCAGAGGTGTGAAGTGAAGAGACTCACCATGGGCAGGAGATCAGTGGCCTGGGAAGAGGTAGAACTTCCTGAGCATTGTAGTCCGTTCTTGTGCTGGCAACTGCCGAGGGAATTTTTCAAAGGAATGTTGGACCTAGAGTGAGAGAGACAGTGGGGAGAAATGAGAGCAGCTCCGTTGCCAGCGTGGAAAGTGTGCAGAGAGTCAGGAGGCATCCCCAGGCATGTGTCCAGTGGCACAAGTGACACCATGAGCTGCGCCAACACGCCGGGCTCTTGCTTGTCCACCCTGTGGCAGGGTGCTGATGCCTCCAGAGATCCAGCTGACTTTCCAGGCCAAACCAGATGCCTTTTTGACAGAGCCTGCTCCCTAGGGGCCTGCCAAGAAATGGCCTGCCCTGGCCCAAGCTCTGCTCTGAGCCGTATTTCTGACCATTGGCATGGCTGCATATGCCAGCACACCTGCAGTTCATGGTAAAGCCTCACCTTTCGGAAGATCTCCTGTAAGTCCTTGTTACAGGCATGGTTTCGAAACTGCTTTATCAGGCGCTGGATGAAAAGGGAGCCTGTTACTGGGCATCTCCAGGAGACAGTATCTGGGGAGACAGAAGACGCCAAGTGTGATTTCACTGGTGTCCCTCACTGCAACAGTGATTAACGCTGAGTGCTGGAGCATAAGACTGAGGCACCTTTTCTGAGATCATTATATTTGGCCCATCCAACCCATGGCACGGGAAGAAGACAGGGCATCCCATGGAAGACAGAAGTAACATGAATATTCTCTTCAAGTCTCTCTGCTTTCCCATGCTCCCAGTCATTCCAGCTGCCAGGCTGGCACGGCCTGGAGTCATCTGTGACCCATCAGAAGACAATTTCCCCCCAGCCAGCCACTGCCATGAGATAAACCGTCTGGGGAAGGAGTGCAGGCAGAGCCGGTGGGGTGGGCTGGACCCAGGGCAAGGGAAGGCAGCCAGGCAGGGGCACAAAGCTCTGGCCCTGGTGCCACTGAGAGGGATCTGGGAGTGTCCTGGAGCAGCCTTGTGCCCTGGCATCGTGGGACACTGTCTTCTCTTAGGCTGTGTTGGAGCAATGCCCAAGCAGTCACCGATGGATGGGACCCCTGACAACCTGCCGCGAGGAGGAGGAGGAGGTGTGGAGGAGACTGGTGGCATCAGGAACGGGAGTCCTGTCCCCCTCGCCTGCCCTCAGGCAGGACGACAACTATCTCCAGGAACAGCTTACCAGGTGTGGAGGAATGTAAAGTGGCAAAATCACTCTCCAGGTGGACTTCACAGATTGCATCATCTTCCAGCCCTGCAGGGATCTTGTGAGCCGAGCTGGGAGTGGGCATGGCAGGGTCTGCGGAGTCGCTCACCATCACGGACCCAACCTTACCTGGGAAGGCAGGACGAGCCATCAGCGATGGTGGGGTGTCCCATCCCCACCCTGTGCTCAGGGTTCACATGCCCTGGGGGGGCCTGGCTGGCTTGCTTGCCTCGCAGGCACCTCGTAGTGGGGACTCACCTCCACGGCAGGACTGGATAATGACCACTTTCGGTTTGCCCAGCAGCGCCTGGCAATGTTTGTTGTTGAATTTCTCATAGATGGTGTCGAGGGAAAGGATGTCCGTGGTCTCGTCTCTGCTCTTGGTCCCGCAGAGCCCAGCCCTGACCCCATGGGACATGAAGACCAAGAAGGTGCTGTCAGAGGTGCAGTGCTCTTTGTGACCCGCAAAATTCTTCATGACCGCAGCCATCTCCTACAAACCAGCACAGGGAAGGAACATCAGCCACCTGTGACCACCTGTGTGGAGACCCAGCCACCAGCTGTGGGCAGGAGCCACTGCCATTGGGCACAGAGGTGTCTCTGTGGTATCTGAGCCCCCCATCACCAATGCGCACAAGGAGGGTCTCTGTGCCACTCCCGGGGCCAGCGGCAGCTGCTTGGTGCAGCCCTTTACCTCAGAAGTTAAGTTGCGATGGACATCCACCACGTAGCCCAGCCCTTCCAGTAGCTTCGTCATCCCCTCCACATCCACTTCAGCCCCATTCCGCCAGCTCAAGTGCTCAAACTCGATGTTGCAGATGAGCAGGGCCCTACGGGTTCGCATCTCCCGTGGCAGACATATGGGATAGATCTGTGAGGAGAAAGGGAGGCAGCGCAGTGGTGGGTGGGTGCAGGGGGCTTTTCTTGGGAGGCAGCTGATAGCAGAGGAGGCCCACGGGTGCAGGAGCCACATCTCCCTGGGGCATATCCCCACATATCCTGCCCTGCTTCCAGGTCAGCAACGCCCCTGGCTCCCCTCGGGAAGCCCCTGCTCACTCCGGCAGGGTGGCCAGGCCACGCTCTAGCCCTCCTCTCATCTCTGCCCACAGCACCTGGTCTCCCTCTGTGTCCCTGATGCGCTGGTACTCGCTCAGGGAGCACTGCCGGATCCACTGCTCGCCCTGGATGCCGACGGAGGGCTCAGGGGGGGCCTCAGTGTTGGGGGAGGCCAGCTGCACACTGGGGTCCCCTGCAAGCAGAAAGCCCCACAGTCACACTGGGAAGTACCTGCAGCAAGAGGGGACTGTCACAGGGCATGGACAGGCGAGCGGAGCTGGGCTCTGCTCACTGGGGGTCCCTGTTCAGCCCCACAGGGGACAGCCACCCCCTCAGAGCCCTGTCATCACTGCATGGCAAAGGGGACTCAGTGCCACAGAGCAGTGACACCTTGGAGACCCAACTGCCTCTCGCCTTCAGGCCTGGGACACCTGCCAGGTCCAGGCCCCCCTCCACCACCCCACCGGAGGCGCCGGGAGCCCCAGCATGGCTGGGGGCAGACCAGGGCTCCGCAGTTCTCACCTGACTCAGCAGCCAGACCCAGCTCATTCGCCAAGGTACCATCGCGGTCCCTGAGGCTGTCGATGAA